ATGCTCTAAATGACCTAAACTCTTGCTCAACATGCTAACATGCACCTTTACATGACTTCTAGCACTCCAAAGAAAAAAAAAAGGTAGAGTCAATTCAATAAAACGATAGATGTCGCTGAATATATCGTATTGTAATCGGCATATTGGCTCTTCATGCTTCAATTGCACCATCCTAGAAGGTTAATTTTGATGAGTCATTGATAATTTTTCTTAAAATTGATTTCGAGATTGGCATTGAGTTTATCCGTTGCGTAAACTCCCACTCAACCAATGAAATCACTCAATTTCTCAAATAAACTGGCCAATGTCACCTTGGGGTGTCAAGGTGTATGTGCACGAAAAATTCGGATCATTTACAAAAACTGTGCAGCATACTTCCGCCATTACATACATAGCAATACGGTAAAAAGTATCCATGTACTTGACTACGCTTTTCACTGTATGCCAACCTAATTCTAGTCACGCACGTCAGAGTGGTTAAGAGGATGCATTTTGAATTTCATAGTAACCCGCAAATGAGCTAGCTCGTGGCAAATTCTTTTCACACGAGTTGTTTCCACATATTTTCGAAGATTCCGTTTCCAAAATTGTGTCTGTTTTCTCTATAAGTTCATTTAAAGCGCCTTTTTAAAGTGCTTGCCTTGATTACGGACAACATCGAGACCTTTACAACCTTAGCAGCATAATCACAAACTGCTTGCCGAGAGTTACACTTTCGGACCACGCCGACAAAAAATTTTCTCCATCGCTTGACGATAATCTACTGTTCTCAACAATTCTGCGATAGACGTCGACCTGGGCAAGGTTTTTTAAGAAGCCTCAAACTTCCTAAAGTTCTTTTTTACTTTCACTAAGTAGGGGGGATCGCGGAATCGTAAAGGATCAAATCATTCCTAACTGCCTGAATTCAAGTTGGTCATATCCACTCGCATTTTTATACCACACTCCAAGCAGCCGCTAGATTCATCCAAAAACATTTCCTGCGAAAAAATTTTCGTCGCAATGGTCCGAAATGCAACTGTTCAAAGCATCGCACTGCAGTCTTTCAAATTTCATAAAACATATCGCACGAAAACAAACAATTCTTCCCAGTTATTGTTATGCGAAGAAAAGCTGAGGAACCATTATGTCAGAAGTTCGAACAATTAAACTTTCTTTCTTTTCTTTCTTCAAACATACCTTCGCGCTTTCAGAAGATGAAGTTATTTTGAGAAATGTGCTGGAAAGGCAGCGAAGGCCTCAAGACGTAGACGATAAACAAAGGAGAACAATCGCAATAAGAGCGGGCTTATAAACAGCTGCTTTATTGGGCCTATAGAGTGGTATACAAAATTTCGAAAGAATTTTCATTTTAGAAAAGCTTGGCATGACAAGGACTTGCTCAAAATGCCTTATTATATACTTATTATCACAAAATCAACTGTAATCTCCATAACAACATGTCGTCTGTGACAGTTAGAATAAGGGTGGCCTGTTACATTGAAACGCATTGTATGGTTAGTACTAGTGAACAACTGATCGGAACAAATGAAGAAGATGTTACTTAATAAGGGACGAGTAATCACAGTTGAAAATAAGCAAGTGAGAGTCAGATTACTGAACTTAGATATAAAAATACTCAATAAGTTGATACCCTTGCAGTCTCTCTTTTCACGTCCAGAGTTTTTCGCCTTAAAATTCTTGGTTTGGTGCTTGATCTTTACACCCTTAGCCGAAATTGCTTCAAAGATAATCATTCTCTTCAGCTGACAATTCTCAATGCTACGCATTTTTTTTCTAATTGGTGCGAGTTTGGCACTGTTGGTCCTCAGCGGTAATCCTGTACTCAACCAGAAGAAAGCAACTGAAGAGCGGATGAAACACTTGATGGACATGAAGTATTTGATTCCGCCAAAGGACAGTGAACGCATTGAGATAAAATTGAACAAGGATGAAGAGTTACCGGAGAAGTATGTTGAACTACATTAGCTTTCGAGCAAAGGCATATACTAACGGAAGTGTGCCCGCTACCAAATTTGACTTGCCAGAAGTTCACTTCAGTATTTTCCATCACAGGTTTGATGCGCGAGACAGATGGCCTGAGTGTAGACGTCTAATTAGTACTGTACGTGATCAAACTAGGTGCGGTGAGTTTTTCAAAACCTAACATATTTTATAAACTA